ACGTTTTCTCATGATTGCAAGATGGCAGAAGTAACTCTGGTGTCTCTTCCTTACCTAATATACTTTAGAAATGTGGATTTTGCCTGTGTGAGAAAAAAAATCTTCTCAAAATAGAATAGGAAAGTTCTTCTTCACCACTCTGGCTATTTGATTGCCTAATCTAAAATTCCCCCTTTGCTAAGAAAAAAAAATGACTGTGCTAGAGTAAATAAGATTTACTTATGGGATTCAGGATGAAACCAGAGTCTTCATTTTTTTTTTTTAAATTTTTTTTATTGTATTTTGACAATCGTTACATAGTTAATTAGGGTAAAAAGGTTCAAGGGCTACAGGAACGTGGGTAAGACTATTATTTTTCCCATATTGTTTCCTTTATGTTTAAAGGGAGGTATTAAGGGAGAAGGCCCACCCAATTTCCCACCCTCCCCAGGCCCCAGATGTAGGGTATGCTCTGAGGTTCTTGCTCAAGTGGTTTTGATAGTTCAACAGTTATGAATTGCTGTCAATCTTGCCACTCCAAGCACTATGAGGTCTTTGAAGAATCCACTGATTGACATAGTCCATCATAGAGTCTCTGTTTGCCCTGTTTTTCACTGCCAACATATAGCTGAGATGGTTGGTTGACCTGTTTTATCTTCTATTTTTTCTTGGTTTGGGTCCTGAGTCCAGCATTTCGATTGGGGAAATCCACAAAGAAACTTTGTCTGAGGTGTTCCCAGACCAGATTCTTGTATGTACTATCAAGGACAGGGCCTGGCACCGTCCATCGCCCCGATCAGCGGGTGTTTGCAATTGCTGGGTTGGTTCTATTTTCACTCCCAACCTCCACTGGAACCAGTGGGTGTTGCAGTCTAGCCTGGTTCTGCCCAGCACATACTCGGTCTTCACATAAACCAGTGGGAGCTGCAGCCTAGTCAGAGTGACCCACAATAACCCCCACCAGGCCAGCCCCCTACCCTGGTTTGCCAGTAAGTGTAGCAGTAGTCCAGTCTGTCTCACATTCCATTTCACCCCAGCCGCTGTCCTAGTTTTATGTTCTCCCGTGGAAGTAATACCCCAAGAGGGAGGAGCCCGCTATTTCCCTTCCAGGCCTCTCCCACTTTCAGATTATGCACTCTCCAGATAGTTCTGTGAAACCAGAGTCTTTAGAAGAATAAAGCTATAAGGAAGATGTTGATACTGCAAAGATGATTGGAAATGATTGTTTTAAAGGCATCCAAAGATGTTTTTCTCAGTTGAAATGGCCTATAGTCTGAGAGTGTAACGGGCTGACTCTGAAACATGGTCTCCTTTTCAACTATGTACAACAGTGTGGGTCCTCTTGGAGGTTCACATTAAGTTTATAGACTACCCACTACTGTCCAGAAATTGAGAATAAGGGGCTTTTTTCCATAGAGCCTTAATTTTGTAGTAATAGGTTTTCTTGAAAAGAGATTCAGTATGATTGATATACAATTGTGTTTTCTGGGTTTTAAAGTCGAATTTTATTTAAACTTTTTGAATTAACATATAATACTTAAATAGTTACATAAAGTACAATGTAATATTTCTTTCTTTCTTTAAAGATTTATTTATTTTTGTTAGAAATACTGGTGTATAGAAAGGAGGACAGACAGAGAGGAAGATCTTCCATCCAATGATTCATTCCCCCAGTGGCCCCAACGGCCAGTGCTGCACTGATCCAAAACCAGGAGCCAGGAGTCTCTTCTGGGTCTCCCATGTGGGTGCAGGGTCCCAATGCTCTGGGCTGTCCTCAACTGCTTTCCCAGGCCACAAGTAGGAAGCTGGATGGGAAGCAGGGCTGCCGGGATACGAACCTGTGCCCATATGGGATCCCAGCGCATTCAAGGTGAGGACTTTAACCATTATGGTATTGCGCTGGGCCTGGAACAATGTAATATTTCAACACACATATACACAGCATAAGCCAACCATACCAGGCAGTTAGCCTTTATGTTTTAACACTTGATCTTAGCCAAAAGGCCGAGAAGTGATAGCCTTTATGTTTCTTTGTGTTTAGAGTCTATCAGCTCCTTTTATTCCAGTTCCTTATGCTGAATATAATATATTATTGTGAACTATAGTCTTACAGTTTTAAGAAAAACATTTAAAAAGGCAAGATCAAAGTCTCTTTCTGTTCATCAGCAATCCAATATTCTTTCACAACAATGCTTTCTTTACTCAGTATGGTTTTGGTATGTATTTCTAAAATAATATTTAATGCATTATATGCATTTGTCACATGTGTTAATATGGACAGTGTGTTAAATATTTATCATGGCCTGTAGGCATCATTTTAAAAAGTTTATTTATTTAATTTATTTGAAAAGCAGCATGCTAGAGACTCGGGGAGAGATTTAGAGAGGGAGATCTTCTTTTTGCTGGTTCACTCTCCAGGTGAGTGCAATGACTGTGTTGAAGTCAGGAGTCAGAAACTTCATCCATGTCTCCCACATGAGTGGCAGAGTCTAACTACTTGGGCCATCTTCCACTGCTATCTCAGATACATTGGCAGGGAGCTGGATAAGGAGCAGAGCAGCCTGGACTCAAACCACTGCCCTTGATGTGGGGGATGTAGCTCTCCAATTCACTATGTCTCAACACTATCCCCTAGATTTTGTAACATGTTTTGTCATGAGTAATGTTATTTGGAGGTAAAAAATAATGCCATATATAATATTATAAATATTGCTATATTTGATTGCTGCGTTATATCTTAGTTTTGGCCATTCACAACCAATTTTGCTGTTTATTGTATTGACCAGCCAATTTTAGTTATTAATCATTTAGTAGCTATTTGTATTGTTAAAAGTGAAAATATTGACATTTAGTTGTAGCAACATTAATTTTTGACTTTACTCATTGTTTAATTATGAAAGTTGGAAAAAGAGTGGCTGGCTTGGTGACTCAACAGGCCAATTATCTACCTGCCAGCACCAGGATTCCATATCGGGACCAGTTCGTGTCCCAGCTGGTCTGCTTCCCATCCAGCTCCCTGCTTACTGCATGAGAACAGTGGAGGATGGCTCAGGGCTTTGGGACCCTGTCTCCAAGTGGGAGACCCCAAAGAGGCTCCTGACTCTTGGCTTCAGATCAGCTTAACTCTGATTACTGTGTCCATTTGAGGAGTAAACTAGCAAATGGAAAAAACTTTCTTTCTATATTTCCTTTTCTCTGTAAATCTGCCCTTCCAATAAAAATAAACACATCTTTAAAAAAAGAGAAAGGAGAGGAGCTGCTTATGATTTTATGTCACTTACATAATTAACTTTTATAGCTTGCTGGGGAGCTGTCATATCAAGGTCCCCACTTAGTAGTGGTCTGAGTTGAACCTACTGTTCCTTGAATCTTTTGCTGTCTTATCTGGTTAGCAGCCTTATTTCATGAAACCATTCCATATGTTTCTAATAAAACTATGAATGGCACATGAAATTTATATCTTTTCATGAAAGAGCTATATATTCATGAATAGCAAATAATTGACATTTAGAACTGTAAAGACTTTTAAAATTTATTTATTTTTGTTGGAAAGAAAGATTTACAGAAAGGAGAAAAGGAGAGAAAGATCTTCCATCCACTGGTTGTCCATCCCCAAGTGGTCACAGTGGCCAGAGCTGAGCTGATCTGAAGTCAGGAGCTTCTTTCGGGTCTCCCACGTGGGTACATGGTACCAAGGCTTTGGACTATCCTCTACTGCTTTCCCAGGCCACAAGCAGGGAGCTGGAAGGAAAGTAGAGCAGCTGGGACATGAATCAGTGCTCATATGGAGTCACCGTGCATGCAAAGTGAGGATTTAGTCATAGAGCCATTGCTCCAGGCCCAAGACTTTAGTTATTTTCTTTTTAAAAAAATATTTATTTATTTGAAAGGCATAATTACAGAGAGAAAAAGAGAGAGAGAGAGAGAGAGAGAGAGAGAGAGAGAGAGAGAGAGAGATCATTCATCCACTGGTTCATTCTCCAAATGGCTACAACTACTGGAGCTTGGCCGTTTAAAACCAGTATCCTGGAGTTTCATCTTCATCCCCCATGTGGGTATTGGGGCCCAAGCCTCCTGCCAAAGTATGAAAAAGACTATTGCTGCCTATTTTAATGTCAATAAAAGTGCTAAAAATAAAAAGAGCAGACAATGTTGCTTGGTAGGGTAATTGTATAGAGATTCTCATTAAATAATATAATTATCTTGCAGCACTGTGCCTGCTCAACCCCAGAAAATGTGCACACATGGGTCAATAGAGCCTCTGAGTTTTAGGAAGAAAGATCTCCATCAGCTGTGGCACCTGGAAGACACAACTGTGAGAGTGTGCCAGAGATTTAGAGGCTCCAGAGGGTGGAGTGCTGCTTTGCCATGGTACCAGGAGTAGGGAGGCAGTCCTGGAAGTATGAGGTCTGTGTGGCTGCTGATGCATTTTGTAGAGCCAGGTAATATTCTACTCTTATGTACATCGGCTGAATGTCCCTGAGGATAGCAGAACTATGACAGCTCTGGTAGTTAAGGCTCTAGGTCTCTTGGGGAAGAACACCACTTCAGCTCTGCCCTGAGGGGAAGATGCACCAGTGACTGGACTGGAAGGCTGAAGTGGCTCTGTGGTAGTTTGGTGCTTGAGTTTAGTGGCATCTCTGCTTAAAGATGTTACTCTATTGGGTACATGTAGTACAATGGATGCTCAGGTCTTTAGGTCACTGTGAGTGTGCCCTTTTGGGGGTGGTCATTGTGAGCAGATGGTTATTTGAGTACAAGTTTGGCCTAGTTGTCTCTTTCCTGGTTCACTACACAATCCATTCTGTTTCTGTATCTGATGCTTTCAGCTTCCATCAGACACCAAGCTATGGGACTTCCTGATCCTGATCTGTGACCTCCAAACTATGAGAATGAACCTTTTGTCCCCAAGAATTAAGCTTATCACAAATATTTCTGTTAAAGTAATGAAACTGCACCCATACATGTCCTTAACCACAGTCTTAGACTTGTGATGAAAGCCAGAAAAACATTCAACAAAATACCTCATAAAGGGATGTTTATTGTTTCTATGGAAACATTGGTTCAGAGTCACTTAGGGATCAAGGAGCTGGAAGGACTATCCTAGGGAATCTCACGTTAGGTAACGATTGAGTGAAGAAAACTGAGGAAAGAATTCCAAAAATGTGAACTCTGGGTAGGTGTAGCACTGTAAGTTCCACAGAAGAGATGAGAAGTGATTGGGGAGAGATGAAATACAGTGAATAGTGCTGGAAAATAGTGCTAGGCGATATAGCATATCCATTCTTCAGCTTTTGTAGATGGGCAATGTACCTGCAATAGGACAGACATGAGACTGATTGGTTCTAGGCACACCTGTGCCATCATCACATAATTTTCTAATTTCCTTATAATTTTACAACCATATTTGTGTCTACAACATCCCCAATGTTTGGCCTTTTTTGTGGCTGATTCCTTACCTTCCCTTCCAGTGTGTGATTCACAAGGGTCCTTGCTGCCTGGAAGCACCACCTATGCGCAGTCCTCGGATGATGAGGACAGTGCCCACCACGATACCCACGAGGCCCACGGCCAACCCCAGGGCGCAGACCACAGTCTCTGTCAGCTCTGACATTGGAGCTGGGATCTCAGGTTCTGTGTAAATGAAATTGCAGAGGTCAGAATATAGAGTATGGGTTTGTGTACACATGGATAGGAGTTCTGCAATGATTTAGAGCATCAGGCTTAGGAAGAAGAGCCAAATTTATTATTGGAAACCCTTAGAAAAGCACGGAAGGAAATGAGTTTTGGGCCATAGAAGTTATGAGTTAAAAGGCAGAATATTATGGACTTGACAGACAAGCAGGCATCAAAAAGGAGTGGAACTCACACCTACCCCAGTGTCTCAGAAGTGGCTTCTCCAGACCCCAGTGCTCCACTTTGCAGTCATAAATATCATCAGCAGTAGGGAGGAAGGTGAGGTAGCCCACTTTGAAGAAAGCATGATCACTCTTGGAGAGGAAGCTGGTCTCAGAAACACCTTCTGTGACTGAACGCCCGTTGACCAACCATGAGATGTTGATCACAGGAGGAAAGATGTTGTCCACGAGACAGATGAGGGTGTTGGGCTGCCCCAGCCTCACAGGGGACTTTGAAAATACAGTCACCTCTGGAATTTCTGTGGAGAGGAAACAGCGCTGGTCAGAGTTGTTGATAGCTCTGTCCTGCTCCATGGAGGAGGCTTTCACCAAAATTTCCTATAGGTGAAGAGCTCTTGCTTCCCTTTTGCTAGGGAAACACTGTCAACTATCAGGGCTCAAACATCATGCCCTTCTGCGGGACTGATTGTTAAGGTATAAGAACTAGGGGACCGGGCCCGGCGCGGTGGCGCAAGTGGTTAAGTCCTCGCCTTGCACGCCCGGGATCCCATATGGGCGCCGGTTCTAATCCCGGCAGCCCCGCTTCCCATCCAGCTCCCTGCCTGTGGCCTGGGAAGGCAGTTGAGGACAGCCCAAAGCTTTGGGACGCTGCACCCGCGTGGGAGACCCGGAAGAGGCTCCTGGCTTCGGATCGGCATAGTATTGGCCCGTTGCGGCTCACTTGGGGAGTGAATCATCGGATGGAAGATCTTCCTCTCTGTATCTCCTCTCTGTATATCCGCCTTTCCAATAAAAAAATAATAAAAATAAATCTTTAAAAAAAAAAAAAAAAGAACTAGGGGACCTCTTGAAGAACTCAAAGAATACATTATGGGAGAGGGAGCTTGATATTGTGTAAAATATGCGAATTTTGATATGAGAGAGGTTAGGATTTCAATAATAACTGAGTAATAAAGGAAATAGTTTTAAGTGAGGATGAGTGGGTATTTCTCCTTATAATACAAGAGAGAGACCTGGTATGAAGGGATACTTTCAATAATGGGAAGCAGGATGCTGCACTTACCATTGACAACAGCTGTAGAATTGGAACGTTTAATCAAGATGTCCAAGTTATGTGCTATTGTGGCTATGTTTCCCAGTGCACCCTGTGGGTCAAAACTTGTGAAGTGACTAAACACAGGAAGCCTCCAGACAGTCTCCTTCTTATTCAGGTCCACATAGAACTGCTCGTCTCCATCAAATTCGTGGGTGTACTGGCCAGAGGGACCATGAGTCTGGTAGACATTTACACCGTAGGCGGCAACATGGTCAGCTGATGATGAGTGAAAGTGAGCAGCAGGAAGGTGGGAAACAGAAAAACAAAAACTTTATTAAACCAAGTGACAACAAACTTACTTGCAAATATTACAGGTTTAATTGTTGGCAAAGTCTCTGGGCAAAATATCCAGTGCCTTCTTGAGCCTCCCTGCTGTGTTGGGTAGTTGTCTAGTATTGGGCATATTGTAAATTTGTGATAAACATTGTATTGGAAGGAAGAAATGAATTAATGATCATAATATTTAGCTTTCTTCTTGAAGAATCAAGACTTCCTGACTTTCATCAGTTAATAACACATTCACTATGACTTCTCTTCCCAGAACTGCCTCAAAGCTGATGATTTCTTTTTTAAAAAAAGATTTATTTGGGCCCAGTGCAGTAGCCTAGTGGCTAAAGTTCTTGCCTTGCATGTGCCAGGATCCCATAAGAGCAATGGTTCTGGGCCCGGCGCGGTGGCGAAAGTGGTTAAGTCCTCGCCTTGCACGCCCGGGATCCCATATGGGCGCCGGTTCTAATCCCGGCAGCCCCGCTTCCCTTCCAGCTCCCTGCCCGTGGCCTGGGAAGGCAGTCGAGGACGGCCCAAAGCTTTGGGACCCTGCACCCGCGTGGGAGACCCGGAAGAGGCTCCTGGCTTCGGATCGGCATAGCATCGGCCCGTTGCGCTCACTTGGGGAGTGAATCATCGGACGGAAGATCTTCCTCTCTATCTCTCCTCTCTGTATATCCGCCTTTCCAATAAAAAATAAATAATAAAAATAAATCTTTAAAAAAAAAAAAAAAAAAAAAAGAGCAATGGTTCTAATCCTGGCAGCCTAGCTTCCCATCCAGCTCCCTGCTTGCGGCCTGGGAAATCATTCAAGGATGGCCCAAAGACTTGGGACCCTGCACCCATGTGGGAGACCTTGAAGAGGCTCCTGGCTCCTGGCTTTGTCTCAGCTCAACTCTGTCTGTTGCGGCTGCTTGGGGAGTGAGTCATCAGATGGGAGATCTTCCTTTCTGTCTTTCTTCCTCTCTATATATCTGACTTTACAATAAAATTAAACAAATCTTAAAAAAAAAGATTTATTTATTTTTGGAAAATCAGATTTACAGAGGGAAGAAGAAACAGAAAGATCTTCCATTTGCTGGTTCATTCCCCAAATGGCTGCAGTGGCCAGAGCTGATCTGATCTGAAACTATGGGCCAGGAGCTTCTTTCAGGTCTCCAGTGCGGGTACAGCAGTGTCCCAAGGACACTGCCATAATTTTTCAACATAGACTTTCTTTCTTTCTTTCTTTCTTTCTTTCTTTCTTTCTTTCTTTCTTTCTTTCTTTCTTTCTTTCTTTCTTTCTTTCTTTCTTTCTTCCTTCCTTCCTTCCTTCCTTCCTTCCTTCCTTCCTTCCTTCCTTCCTTCCTTCTTTAAGTAGCAGGATATCAAGGGAAACTACTGGGAATTTATTCTTTTAAAAGATTAACCTAACTATTATAAGGTCTACAAAATAGCAAGAGCTTTAAAAAATATAAATAACAACACCATGCTCTTAAATTATATTTTGTTAACTACAGTGATCCTTTGAGGGGAGTAACTGATTCTCTGAAATAAAAAAAATGGAAACTTTAATAAGTTTCAGGTTTCTGTCCTTCACCATCCTTTTGTCTTTCCTTTTATGACTCAATATTTATTCTCAGTTGAAGGTTCAGTAAATGGAGGTTTTCTCCTTCAATGGACAGTGTGCATTTCTGAAGATGCCACAGCAGAATGGCACTGACGTAATCTGTCTCTACTTAAACACACCTAACTGGACATTTTCATCAGGACAGTTAGGAACATTTTACCATTCATCCTTCCTTCTTTATTTTCTGAATATCAACAAGTGGCAGACACAGCAGGAAGTGAGAAGGAGCACACCAAGCATGGTCTTTCCCATCACTGACTAACTGGAGAGTCAGGCAAGCGAAGGAACAGACAATACCCTCTGTGGTAAGGATATTGACAGCTGAATGGTTTCACACACTCCACCAGAATCTGCCAATCAAGTCAAACCCAAGGATCTGCTTTGAAATTTGAGATGAAGTTGCTTTTTAGGACTTTTGGGATCTCTCTTTTCCATCCTGAAGGTATTCCCTCACCAAACGTCTTAGCTAAGTTCTGTTAGCAACATGTCTTCGACCATATCACCTCCGACCCTTCCACCCAACGCCTGCTCTCCAAGTTTTCCTGTTCCTCTTCTGACTTACTCTCTGCTTTACCCAGCATTTTCACCTTTGTTGATCAGTTAATAAACTATCCAACAAAGCCTTTGCTCAGATAAAATGAATCTCAATTCCTTTTCAAATATGAACTTTGTCAATCATCTTTTCCTGTGGAATTTGTCCAAGGCTGCCAGGTGAGGGCATCACACTGCTAGGCCAATTAGAACCAAATCACTTTTTAACTCACTTTTCAGATTTAGCTGTGTTCACTGTGCTCAGTAATGGCACTTCTATTCTTTTTGTGCTGCATTTTATTTCCAGCACTAGTGTGTGCAATCTCTAGGGAGACGGTAGTACATCTTTTCATCTTTGAGTCCCCACAACTTAGTTCATTTTGTGCTCAAAAATGTATGCTGAGTCCTCAACAATGGCTGTTGAGGATCACAGAGATTTGGGGAAAGACTGGCAGGCACAGGGGAAGCACAACCATATTATATGATGACCATGGTTGAATTAAAACTTATGGACATAGGCACTGTTGCTTTCCCAGGACTCCTTCCTCTGTAACAACACTGAAAATTATGTTTTATGATTGTGCTGATATTACAGTAAGGCTGAGTTAACATTTAAAACATTTTCTGAGACTCTGTAACTCCATTTATCTTGTAATATAAAAATAGTTAAACATTTTCATATAACCCCTTGTATAATGGACTTGCAACATTGCGCCAACTCTGTCAAGAGGATAAATTGAATCTGATCAGGGTACTATGGTGTGATATTAAAGAGACAAAAGGTAAAACAAAGGAGCCAGATACTGTGGAGGAACATCTATTAGCAAACAGTCATAATCGGAGCAGGTACGGTTAATAATCTTGCTACAGATGAGAGTAATTTTCATTTCATTTCCCCTTTTAGCTACTTGATTTTTAAATATTTAAAAAAATCTGTTTTATGTTGTAAAAAAATGTATGACCTATTCATTTTATGTAAATTAATATAAGAATATCCCCCCTCCATTGTTTTTGTCTCTAACATGGCAGGGAGTGGACCCTGAAAAGAAAGGATTTTAAACATGGCATGGAGAGAGGTGTAAAGAGGTGGATACCAATGGCAGGGAAACCCAAAGGAATAAATAATGAACTTGTACTTGCCTATTTGCCTTTCACAGGGGTTAACTAGAGGAGGCAAAGAATAGTTTGCTTATGTTTATCTAAGATAATTTAATTTACCAAATTTTCAATCATGAAGTTCTTGTTTTTAAAATTTAAATGAAGACATTCACTTCTTTGCTAATGAAGGAATATAAAGTTGTATCTGTAATAGAACTAAGTAAAAATCAGTAAGTATGTCATTGCTGTGTTTCCAATATTTATAAACATCAGCATACGGTATATTTTGTCTGACAATTTGTGAGATGCCCCACATGGGGTAACTTAGGTTAAGAGGACCATATGGCAAAATAACTGTTTTAAGCTGGACTTTCTGCCTGCTGGGCTGCTTTATTCACCCCATGGGTGCCAGCTCCTGGTACTGTGTCCACACCTATGTTAAAGAAAAAGACATCTTATAGGCGATAGGGGGCTAATTTCCAGGATATACAAAGAACTTCAAAACAACCAAAAAACCAAAACAAACAAACCACTCAAGAAATGGGCACGGGAAATGGGCAAACATTTCACAAAGGAACAAGTCCAAATGGCAAACAAACATATGAAAAAATGTTCCAGCTCCCTAGCAATAAGGGAAATCCAAATTAAAACATCGATGAGGTACCACCTAACACCAGTAAGATTGGCCCACATAAACAAGAACACCAACGACGCTTGCTGGCGAGGATGCGGGGAAAAGGGAACCCTACTCCACTGCTGGTGGAGCTGCAAATTGGTACAGCCTTTATGGAAATCAGTCTGGAGAACACTCAAACAACTCAAAATCTGCATACCATATGACCCAGCAATAGCACTCCTAGGAATATATCCAAAACACCTGTTTTACGACAAACCAACATGCATCCCTATGTTCATAGCAGCACAATCAGTAATTGCAAAAACATGGAAGCAACCGAAATGCCCATCAGCAGAAGATTGGATAAGAAAGCTTTGGTTCATCTACTCCGTGGAATACTACTCAGCTATTAAAAAAAACAAAATGCAGTTCTTTGTGGCTAAATGGGCACAACTGGAAACTATAATGCTAAGGGAAATGAGTGAATCCCAAAAGATTAGATACCACATGTTTGCCTTGATTTAACCTGTAATTTTTTGTTTGGTTGTTTGTTATTTTTTGAACCTGTCATTGATACTGTCTCAACCCAGATGTTTCGAAGAATGGAACTTGCATTATTTTTAACATATTGTCTACCCATTACTATGTCAATTAATTCCATAATGTTGTATATTGATACTGAGGCCTTGTTGGGGCTTTTAACTGACCGGATCTTTACTCTGTTAGACCTCTCTTCAGACCATAGAAGGTCTCCCCAAGAGGCCACTGAACTTATCTGGACAATAAGACGCTGAACTTTATGCTAGGCATGTGTTTGCAAGCAATGAATCTCAACTGAACTTGAACTATGGTTATGCAACAAGGTGGAGGAATCCACCATGGGGGGAGGGGTATGGGAGGGGTGGGGGGAATCCCCAGCGCCTATAAAACTGTACTACATAATACAATGTAAGCAACAATAAAAAAAAAAAAAAAAAAAAAAAAAAAGAAAAAGACATCTTACTGGATAGGTGTATGGTATACCCAATTCATTAACTGTTGACCCCAAAATATATTGCAGGAGACACGTAAAAAGCATCTAAGATTGTGCAGAGAAATTTGGGAATAATAGCTCACAAATATTTAATAATGAAATGTAGTCCACTGTGGAAATGCCCTGGTCTTTGAGGCAGCCATGATTGAATGTCACGGAGACTACATTCACTGGACCTAGTTTAAATGGAATAAAGTCCTTGGTGAACAGCATAGGTAACAAAGACACAGGGTTCAGGCTCTGGTTTCTTGAAGGAGGAATAGTTATAATTTTAAAATCTCTTTATATGGAGAAGGCCTTTGGGAACTCTCTACTATTTTAGCCAGCATCTGTCTCTTTTTCCAACTCTAGAGACAGCCCTCCACCATGCACTCACCTTCAATGTCTTCAGCTCTGCCCAGGATCATCATGGCCATCAGGGCAAGAGCCCCTAGGATCCACGCTTTGTTGGGAATCATCCTCTTCTCAAGGTGGTCCTGGTAGTCGCTGCTCTGAGTTGCAGAGAAGTTGAGGACTGAGCCCAGTAATCTAAAGACAACCCAAGTCAAATGCTGTCAGGTCAGGATTTGGCCAATCAGAAAAATTCCCTGTGATGACAACTCAGTTGCCAATGGCAGAGCTTGTTTCAAGAGGCCTAGAGAGAGAAAGGGAAGTCCCCTGGTTCTGATGCAGCCTCCAGAACGCACTCAGTGCACTCAGGTGAATTCTCTGAGTGGAGGGAGGACACTGTACAGAATTTTCACTCATGTGTGTATGTCTGCTAATTGCAAGAAGGATGAAGAGTTTTGGACTCTCATGGGAACATGAGGTCATCAATATTGTCCTTCAGGATTTCCTGAATTACAGTTTCCAGAAATTCTTCCCTGAGTTGATACCCATCCAGGGTATTCCTTACTCTACTCCTCCCCTCTCCTCCCTTCCCCTCCCCTCCCCTCCCCTCCTCTCTTCTCCCCTTCCCTCCCCTCTCCTCCCCTCCCTTCCCCTCCCCTCCCCTCCCCTCCCCTTCACTCCCCTCCCCTCCACTCCCCTCCGTCCCCTCTCCTCTCCTCTCTCTTTCCTCATTTTGAATATGAGTACCTGCCTTTGGTTGCATTCTTGCAGTGCTTACAGAATTCTCTAGATTTTAATTGGCCCACCCACCCAGGTGATCTCTGCTGGAAGTAGCCTTTTATGTTCCTACAAATGCAGTTGGCTAAGTTCTTCTCAAGTTCTGAAGCTTCACAGGTTTTTTGTTGGGGCAGTAAAACAGGTAACAATGTCAGGAGATACAGCCTTCAGTAATACAGGTTTCTTTCCTGCCTTGATTAATCTTTATACTTGGTGCTTTGATGTCATGATTTTTACCATCTTACAGTAGTTAAAAATATTTTATGAAAATAACACAGTCCAGAATATCAAAGTGACAATAACACAGGATTTTAAAAAATATTATATTTATTAATAATTTTATGATACAATTCCATAGGCTCTAGGATTTCCTTTATCTCCCTCCCCAACTTCCTTCCCCCCGCACTGATTTCCCCTAAATTATTATAATAGTATAGTCCTTCATAAGCAGTTGTAAGTCCATCATCTGCTATTTAAGTGCATCCTTGTTAGTTATTTAAAACAGTTTGAGTTCTAGTTCTAGGTCATAAGATATTACGATATTTTACGCGCAGCTAATTCCCGCAACCTGGTTCTTTACCGTGAGCTGAAAACACCAGATGCAACGACATATCTTGGGAAGTTTATTCCAGCGGGGCAGGTACAGGGGAAGGGGAAGAGGAGGGAGGGGGAGGGAGGCCAGAAGGAGGAGAGAGGGGAAGAGCAAGGAAGAGGAACCAAGAAGAGAGAGAGAGAGAGAGATAGAGAGAGAGAACCGCACCTGGGGGCCTTTTTTGTCTGCCAGGTGTGGGGGGCAGGGATTCGGAGGGATTGAGGTCAAGGCCCCAGGGATTGAGGTCCTATGCCTGCAGGTGAATGCCTGGGGATGATTGGTGAGTAGGCAGGTTTGGGGAAGGGACTGGGAGATTGGGGGTGGGATTCTCAGGTGGAATGCCAGGTTACATCTGATTGGTAGATGGCTGGACTGGCACGAATTCCGTGAGCTGTGAGGAAGAAATGGCGCAGGGTCCAGGGTGGGATATTGGAATAAGTCCTTACATTCCTGACATTACAGGAAGAGACAATGACAGAGTCCAGTATCCTGTTGATAAGACAAGATTTATTTATTTTTTTATTAATAAATTTTATTTTGACATTCTTTACATAGTTATTTAGGGTAAGAAGGTTCAAGGGCTACAGGAAAGTGGATAATACTAGTATGTTTTCCATATTGTTACCTTCATGTTTAAAAGGGGGGTATTAAGGGAGAAGGCCCACCCAATTTCCCACCCTCCCCAGGTCCCGGATGTAGGGCATGCTCTGAGGTTCTTGCTCAAGTGGTTTTGATATTGCCACAGTTATGAATCACTGTCAATCTTGCCACTCCAAGCACTATGAGATCTTTGAAAAATCCACTGATTGACATAGTCCATCATAGCTGAGATGGTTGGTTGACCTGTTCTGTCTTCTCTCTTTTCTTCGTTAGGGTTCTGAGTCCAGCATTTAGATTAGGAAGATCTCCAAAGAAACTTCTTGTATGTGCTAACAAGTACAGGGCCTGGCACCGTCCATCGCTCCAATCAGCTGGTGGTTGCAATTGCTGGGTTGGTTCTGTTTTCACTCCCGACTTCCACTGGAACCAATGGGTGTTGCAGTCCAGCCTGGTTCTGCCCCGCACATACTTGGCCCTCACATAAACCAGTGGGAGCTGCAGCCTAGGTTGGAGCGACCCACAATAACCCCCACCAGGCCCGCCCCCTACCCTGGTTTGCCAGTAAGTGTAGCAGTAATCCAGTCTGTCTCACACCCCATTCCACCCCAGCAGCTGTCTTAGTTTTATGTCCTCCTGTGGGAGTGGTGACCCAAGAGGGATGAGCCCACTATTTCCCTCCCAGGCCTCTCCCACTCCCAGATTCCAGTTGATGCTGCCCAAACAAACCTTGCCCACTTTAATTTTGTTTGCACCAGTAGGAATAATCCGCCGAGCCCGGCTTTTCCCTGATCTAGTCCACATGAGGCGCACAGGTGTGGTAGCTCTGCCTAGTCTGGTCTGCCCCCGTCCCAGCCCATGCTCTCCTGCGGAAGTAGCTGTCCTGCAAAGGAACCCTCCCTTATTCCCCTGCTGGCTCTGCCCACTTCCTTTCTTGTTCTCAGGCTGGTTGGACGCTGCGGTCCCTTCCGGTACAGGCAACCTCACCTCGGCATTCCATATTGTGCACTAGTCTTTGTTGCGACCGAACCTGGGTCGACCCACACTGGTGCCTGGATTTGCCAGTGGATGACGTGGACAGATTCAGCCTGGTCTTGCCCCCACGTCTACCAATTGTATGCCAGTGGGTAGCTTTCCATGGCCTTTTCTGGGCTGTTTCCTATCATGTTTCTTGCGCTGACCTACCGGGTCTGTGTCCTGCCAGAGGAGTTGCCCAGGCTCCTCCATCAGAACCTCTCCCAATGCCAGGTTTCACGCTTACCAGTGGGTCCATGAGCCAACCCTACTCAGTCCACCTTCTGTCATAGCAGGAACTGTGGCTTTTCCTGACTGGCCTTCCACCCAATCTGGTTCTTGCTGTTGGATGTTCCAGCCCAGCCATGGTTTGTCCATACCCACTCACAGCTCACACATGGCTCAGTAGGGGTTTGAGACCCTGCCTAGTCCATCGCACATCTACCCTGGTCCTCCAGAACACCAGGGGGAGTCGGGGTCCGGCCCAGTTCGGTGCATCCAATCCCAGTCCACACTTGTGCCAAGGGAGACTACAACTGTTTCCAGATCAGAACGCAGCCCCCCTTCCAGGCCACGCGCCTCTTGGTGGGAACCTCAACCCAGCTAGGGTTGTCCCCTTTGCTCCCCAACCGGGTCTGTTCCCAGCCATAGATCACATGCCTGCCAATGGATGCTCTAACTCAGCTTGGCACAGCCCCTCCCCTGTCCCGAACTCTGCCTTAGACACTGTGGCTTAGCGTCCCAGACTCCCACAGACCAGCAGGTACAAGAGCCTAGCTTGGCATGACCTCTGCTCCCTCCTGGTTTCTAATTTTACTTGTGGGCTAAGGTTTGCTCAGTCGTGCCTAATCTACTCTGTTCCATTACCAGTTGACACATTGGCCAGCTGTTGGAGCTACTTTTGCAGGACAAGCCCCAAGCCATAGCTTCTGCATGACTGGTATTTGGTGCTCAGCATTATTAGTGATTACAAGTTTTGCTAAGGAAGAGTTACTGCCTGTTTCAGGTCCAAGAAGCACAACGGGTTCAACCTGGAGCTAATTAAGCAGCGACTCAAAGAACCAAATCCCCAGAGCTCCCCGGCCGGGTGGCCGGCAGGCAGAGCCTGGCACCAGTGGCGCACTGGCTGCCTGGGAACGGCTCACCATGTGCCCATGGCGGCCGTCCGGGATCCAGGCATGAGACGCCCCGTCCTGAGACCCACCCGATAAGACAAGATTTATAATAAACAATTTCTCAATACTGACCTTGATTTGATTAATTGAGTCATTTGGTAAAGTGGGGTGAAACTATAACATAATACCTAATATCATGAAGTTATAAAAAAGTTCAATTTATAAAGTTTTATTGCAAGGGCACTATAAGTAGACAAAAATTAAAAGATGACTTTTGGTACATGCAATTTTTGAAGTGCATACTTAGTTTTTTAACAATATGCATTTCCATGAACTTTTCTTTTTAAAAAGATTTATTTATTCTACTTAAAATCAGAGTTACAGAGAGAGCAGGAATCACACACAGATGAGAGAGGAGTTAGACTGGGTAGTAGGCAGTTAGGGTATTCTGGGTACCCAAGTCATTTTCTCAAATATAAAATCCCCCACCATGTCTTAGATTCACCAGAGCACTTTTCTTCCAAGGGACAGGGGTGCTATTGGCATATCAATTCCCCACCTGAAGTATTGGCCATCACCTCTGGCCATTGTGGGAGGGCCTCAGGCTGATCTCTTTATCATTGGAAGGAGAACAGGAAGAAGTGATACATATCTACCTAAGGCCTGGAATGTCCTATGTCTGGCACCTCTGTGGCCTTTTGTCCCAAGGCCAGGTACCATGGAAACCAGGAATTTTCTTTGTTCATGGAGAAACATCTTTGAGGGAAACCTTTAAAAGGTGCATTCCCCACCTTTAATACGGGTTCTTTTCTTCCTGCCACTATGGCAGAGGACTAGAGTTCGGCTTCTTTTCCTCCTGCCATTATGGCAGGGGGTAAGGGTCCTTTCTATCTCAAAACCCCCTCCCGTTGCTAGGATGGGAGTTTCTCCTCTCAGCTTTTCTAATAAATCTTGCTTTAAAACTAAACTGTGTCCATGCGAAAATTCTTCTTTCCTGCGAGACAAGAATTGAGGTTGCTGCCATACTCAGAGTCAAAAATCCTGCAACACAGAGAAAGAGAGAGAAGGAGATTTTTTTTTTATTTTTAAATATTTATTTATTTTTATTGGAAAGGCAGATTTATAGAGAGAAGGGGATATGGAGAGAGAAAAAGATCTGTCCACTGGTTCACTTACCAAGTGGCTGCAATGGCCATAGTTAAACCGATCCAAAGCCAGGAGTCAGGAGCTTCTCTGGGTCTCCCACGCGGGTGCAGGGTTCCAAAGCTTTGGACCATCCTTGAATGATTTCCCAGGCCACAAGCAGGGAGCTGGATGGGAAGCTGGGCTGCCAGGATTAGAATTGGTGCCATACGGGGTCCTGGCACGTGCAAATTGAGCATCTAGCCACTGAGCCATCGCACTGGGACTGAGAGATATTTTTCATCCACTGGTTCACTTTCCAGGTGGCCATAACAGCCAGAGCTATGAGCCAGAAACTTCTTCTGGGTCTCCCAGGTGGGTGCAGGAGCTTGCGGTCTTGAGCCATCCTCTGGTGTTTTCCCAGGCCATTAACAGGGAGCTAGGTTGGTAGTGGAGTTGTGGGGACTAGAACTGGTGTCCCTTTGAAATGTTGGTATGGCAGGTGGGGGATTAGCTTGCTATGCCACTGTCCCATTCCATGACCTTTTTACATACACTTTACATAATCTAGTGCCTGACACATAAAAATATTTTCAAGTGGTGGATACCGCATAATGACAAGCACACAAAATAATAACTACAAAAATAACATTATGCCTAGGCCAGGGACAGATGTAACCACATCCACACATCCATTGAATCTTCTCCCTGAGCCACTGTGTGTAAGAGTTTGATAGCAGCACTATAAAGGTGGGCTAAGGAATTTTGAGCTTCTTTTACAATTTATCAAACATGTCCTCCAGCTATGTTTTCTGTCCAAGTGTTAGAGAAATGTATTTCACTCAGTTCCTATCTGTCATTTTCTCTTTACTTTATTCCTGCGCAGCTTTCTTGAAGGAAAATGGACTGAAGAACTATTGATATAGACAATTACTATGATTTGTTCTCAATTGTTTTTAGAATTTTAGAAAAGATTTGTTTATTGTCATTTTAAAGATTTATTTATTTATTTTTTTCTCATTGGAAAGGCGGATATACAGAGAGGAGAATCTTCCGTCCGATGATTCACTCCCCAAGTGAGCGCAACGGGCCAATACTATGCCGATCCGAAGCCAGGAGCCTCTTCCGGGTCTCCCACGCGGGTGCAGTGTCCCAAAGCTTTGGGCCATCCTCGACTGCTTTCCCAGGCCACAGGCAGGGAGCTGGAAGGGAAGCGGGGCTGCTGGGATTAGAACCGGCGCCCATATAGGATCCCGGGCGTGCAAGGTGAGGACTTTAACCACTTGCGCCACCGCTCCGGGCCCCTGTTTATTGTCATTTGAAAGGCAGTGTCACAGACAGAAAGTGAGACAGCGAGAAATAGAAATTTTCCATCCGCTGCTTCACTTCCCAAATTGCCACAATTGCTAGAGCCGAGCCCATCTGAAGCCAGGAGCCAGGGGCTTCTTCTCTATTCTCCCACGTGGATGCAGGGACCCAATCACTTGAGGCATGCTTCCCTAATTTCCCAAGCCATAAGCAGGGCCCTGGATAGGAAGTGTGGCAGCAAGGACATGAATCAGCACCTGTATGGGATGCTGGTGCCACAGGCCTAAATCCAGCCTACTATGCCATGATTCTGACCCCATTTTTTTTTTTTTATAACAAATTTTACGGATGAAAATATAAGAACCTAGATAATTACAGTCATTTTTATAGCTGTCAAACATGTTTGTTATTTTCATGCAAGGCCCTGTGTGCTGATATTCAGTCAGATGGTCTTTACAATTACTGTCTGTAAAGAATGTGACCTTGCAAAGCTAAAAATTATCTTTTTCATTTAACATCACTTCCATTAATTCTTTGTTCCCAACAATTCCTATGTGTATGGACTAGTTACTTTAGATGACTCTTAATAAACTGCACAGCAAAAATAACAATGAAGCAAAAAACTCTCTACTAAATTTAACTGAAAAACATTTAAAACTACATATATTACAGGTCTACTTTTAGCCATACAGCTCAAAATTGCTCTTTAGTTAGACTGAGTAGCTTGTTTTGTAAAGACTTTGTGTTAGGATTAAAATATGTAACCAATAACTGCTAATTGGGGTGAATTTAAGTTCTTAATTCACCTGAATCAGGTTGTGGAACTGACTGCCTGGAGACAAAGGAGGCTCTTCATGCCCCATGCTGATTGGCTGCTTCACAGGAAATACTGTGAAACTTTGGGATGGAAACTTTTGCCTAACATTACTCAGTAAAATAAATAAAAAGAATGTTAGATTAAATTGAGACTTTAAGTACAATCGTTGCTTTAAACCACATATTCTAACCAAATGCCAGCACATATATTTAATGCATTTTAGTGAGAAATTTCTAAGTTGTCATTTAATAGGAACTTAAACAATACAAAAGATTTTGCAACCAGCATTCTAATGTTTTTTTTTTTTAATTTATTTTATTTTTATTGGAAAGGTGGATATACAGAGAGGAGAGACAGAGAGGAAGATCTTCCGTCAGATAATTCACTCCCCAAGTGAGTGCAACAGCCGATGCTGTGCCAATCTGAAGCCAGGAGCCTCTTCCGGGTCTCCCACGCGGGTGCAGGTTCCCAAAGCTTTGGGCCGTCCTCGACTGCTTTCCCGGGCCACAGGCAGGGAGCTGGATGGGAAGCGGGGCTGCCGGGATTAGAACCGGCGTCCATATGGGATCTCAGGTGTTCAAGGCAAGGACCTTAACCACTTGTGCCACCGCGCCGGGCCTTCCAATGTTTTAATAACAGACAATGCTAACAGAAGTTGAGCGGTAGTTATTCTTGGTGAAGTTATTTCTCTAAAACTATTACATTGGAAAGAAAATGTTGTCAGGGATTATGTTGCACCTGTGAGTGGTAGGTCATAGAGCTGGAGTAATGAAGGAAAAGCAGAGAGAGCAGGGGACACACCCTTATTGAGTCATCATTAACTGTTATCTTCGAGATGCGGGGATTTTGGAATCCATGAGTTTCTTCATTAGGAATGTACAGTATAATGCTTGATATGGTAAGAATATCATATCAAATAAACTTGAATCAATATAAAGCAATGAAGGAAATGAAATGAATAAATTAAACCAAATAGATAAATTGTTTTTGTTTTTAAAAATTGCCGTAAAACAAAGTTTCCCAGCTTCTCAGCTATTGACATTTTGAGTCCGATAGTGCTTTCTTTGTAGGAAATTATGTATTATACAATATTTAGTCACCAACTGTCATCTATCAATAGGTGCCAGGATCTTATATTCTAGTCATGACAAAGAAAAAGAACTGCAGACATTGTCAAATATAATTTCAGAAGAAAAGAGCTTTCATTTGACAATCAAGTTAATAGATTGTAAATAAAAATATTATCCATTTTATATGTTTATATATGAAAAAGTAAAATATGACAGCTTCACAAAAGTAGAGAAATTTGAAGTATGTTTAAAATTTGAAATGTATTTTAATACTCTAAAGTCCTTCCATTGTAATTGAAAGTTATACATACATACGCCAACATTTACACATTCACACATGTACTTCAAAAAGTTCTTGGAAATGGAATTAAAAGATGTATTTTGATGCAAAAAAATGAAATCCATGAATAATTTTTTATAATAGATATTTTCTACGGACTTCACTAAGATCCCCTGATAAAATTTTGAAGCAACAAAACAGCCACAAGAAGCTGGGAAATTTTTTTAAAGATGTATTTATATTGATTTTTTAAAGGCATAAAGAAAGATAGAGAGAAAAAGAGAGAGGGAATATTCCAATCTTCCATCTACTTGTTTACTCCCCAGATATCTGCAACAGCAGGGGTGCTGTGCCAGTTGAAGTCAGGAACCTGGAACTCAGTCCTGGTCTTATACCTAGTGGTAGGTTACCAAACACTTTAAGCTCCCCTCTGCTGCCTCCCAAAGTGTCCACTAGCAGGAAGCTGGAATTCATATCAATCTGGACTTGAATGAATTCAGGCACTCTGATATAAGATGTGCATGCTCCAAGTGGCAAACACTTGACCCAGAATAGAATTTCAAAATCCCCCAAATTCAATGCAATTATTTAAAGACATCTGTCAAAAATAATCTGATATTGTGCTCGCTTTGGCAGCACATATACTAAGTTTGGAAAGATACAGAGAAGATTAGCATGGCTCCTGTGCAAGGATGACACGCAAATTCGTGAAGTGTTCTATAATTTAAAAAAATCTGATATTAATACTAGTATCAAAAATAATTGTATAAGCCATCATTAAATGATAGATATAATCAAAATGAATATAAGTGGCCCAATTTGAATATAATCTATAAACAAATAATGTACTTCAAATAGAAAGGCATATCTACATAAAAAGTAAAAGTAGGGGATATATGTACTATAAAAACATAATCAAAAGGAAGATAGAATAAACAATAATACTGAACAAATAGGTGTCAGAACAGGAAATATTGCCAGGGATAAAGAGGAATATCACTTAATTATAAAGGAGTTATTTATCTGGAAAGATAAAATTATCATAAGTGTTATGTACTTGACAGCAGAGCTTCGAAGTGTTAGACAAAACTGATGGAAATTGAAGGAAAAATAGAAAAAAATCCAAAGTTATAGTTGAAAGAAATCATAGCCATTTCTTAGTACTTGATTGAAAACTTGAAAACAAATCAATGAAGACTTTAGATAACTAAGCAGCGCTATCAACTTTTTTTTTCCACCCAACAATAGCAAAATACATTTTTTTGCAATACATGTAGAATATTCTAATAAATGCAAAAGATTTGAAATACAAAATGCATAGTTTTCTGGGCCATAGGTAATTAACATAGCAATCAATAGAAGAAAATGGGGAAAATATGGGTGGAAATAGTTAGAACTTTAAAACAAAGACGTAGAAATAATCCACTCTTCAAAGTAAAAATTATTAGGATGATCAAAAAATATTTGAATTGAAAGAAAACTAAAAGCTAGCACACCCAAATTTGTGCAATATGGATGCATATCCAAGTTAGCTAAAATAAGGAGGCAGTGCACTGGCCTCTGTCACAGAGAAGAACCAGAACAAGAAAGGATGTATTTGTTTCCAGGGGATCCACTGAGGGAAAACTGTAGTAAAGATATGGCAGGAACTGGAGGCAGCAGACACCCTGGAAGCCAGGAGAGAGAGAAAGGAGCAAAGCATACTGTAGCTCCTACACTGGCCAGGGAGATGCAATCCTGCTGGAAGAAGTCACATGGAAATCTCCACTTCTGCCATCCATGCAGACCAGCAGCTAAAACTGCAGAATTCCACAGTAGTCATTGACTTAAAAATTGGGGTCTGAACAACCACTTTGCCCCAACAAAGGAAAGCCATTAATACCCCCTCTACTTCCAAAATCTGACACCTTATCTGCTATGCTATTATCTGACACCTTATCTGCTATGCTATTAGTTCTGTCTTAGAGAATAGCAAGTAGCTCCAAAGCAGAAACCAGGACACTTCACAGGCAGAGAGCAGACCTCTGTGCATTGTGATGCTGTGAGATTGCTGGGTCCAGGACCCAGAGTCAAACTTGGGTGCAGATATAGAGAAATTTCCTTTGCTTCTTGATACTTGGCACCAGTTGCAGGAGATACTCAATCCCAGAGATTCACACCTGAAGAAATTCCCTTAGCACATGTGCTGAGTGGCAAAGGTACAAGCCCCAGCATCACTCTTGAAAGGCCCATGGGAGCTGGGGCAGTATCCTAGGTGTCATGTAGCTCTGGGACTGGCTGGCTGAATGTCCTGTGGTTCCTGGAGTAATTTGCACTCACTGTTGGGAACGGAGGGCCTTATCTGCATCTCGCCATTTCAGGTTACCAGGACTAAACAAGATTATATAGAAACCTAAACAGATTCATAACAAGTAATGAGATGGCAACAGTAATTAAAAGTGTTCCATTAGGGCTGGCAGGGTGGCATATTATACGAATCCTCTACCTGCAGTGCTGATATCCCACATGGATGCTAGTTCCAGTTCTGACTGCTCCACTTCTTATCCACCTCTCTGCTTGGGTGCTGAGAAAGCAGAGGAGGATTCCTCAAGTCTTTGGGTCTCTGAACCCATGTGAGAGATCCAGAAGAAACTCCTGGTTCCTTGCTTTGGATTTACTCAGTTCTGGCTGTTGTGTTCATTTGGGGAGTGAACCAGTGTGGAAGACCTCTCTGTGTTTCTCTCTGTAAATTTGTCTTTCAAATAAAAATAAATAAATCTTTAAAAAAAACGTTAATTAAGAAAAGTCTAGGATTTGACAGATTTTCAATGGAATAAAAAAACATTGAAAGAGGAACTAACTCAAAGTAATTATCAAGCCATTTGAAAATATTGAAAATGGTGAAACTCTGCAAACCTGTTTTTTCTAAAGCCAGCATTGCTCAGATACAAAAACCAAACAGGATGTACAAAAAGATAACTGCAGACCTATATCCTGGTTGAATATAGATATAAAAATTATTTTAAAAATGTTAGCAATTGAATTCAACATTATATCAAATAGACATACATTGCAAACGAGTGAGATATTCCAGGGATGCAAGGATAGGTCAACATTCAGTAAATGTGAAAAACTGAACCAACAGAATAAAGAACATTATTTATATCATTATGCCAATAGTTGTAGAAAAATCACTTAGTAAGATTAAAAAACAATTCATGAAAAAAATCCTCAATAAATTAAGTATAGATGGAAAATATCTCAAGATAAATCTTGTCAGTGGTAAATCCCATGGCCAATAACATCTTAAACAAGGTACAAAAAAGCACATCCCTTTACATCTGGAACAAAACAAGGATGTTTGCTCTTGTGCAGGGTGGTATTGGAATTATTACTAAGAACAATCAAGAAAGAGAAAGAAAAGAATCAAAATTATAACTGAGGAAATTTAAATATCCATGTTTGCAGACCACATGATTTCATAGATGGAAAATCCTAAACACCAGAAAAGCTGCTAGAAATGATAAACCAACTCAGCAATGTAGAATACAGAGTCAATGCATAAGAAATAGTGAAATTTTTATACACAATATTAATCTTGGATAAAAGGAAAATGCAAAATTTCAATCATTATTGCTAACAAATGGAATATACTTAAATGAAGAAATAAAAGCTCTCTACAATAAAAAGGATAAGCCATTGATAAAAGAAATCAAGCAAGTGGGAAGGCCTCTTTAGTAAATGTTGTTGGGACAACTGGCTGATAGCCTGTAGAAACAAAAAAATAGACCCACATCTATCACCATACACTAAGATCCAATCTACATGGATAAAAGACCTAAACCTACATCCAGAAACCTTCAAACTCTTGCAAGAAAATGTAGGAAATACCCTGCAAGACCTAGGAGTAGGTCCCGACTTTCTAAGAAGGACACCAAAAGCAATAGCAGTTGAGAACAGAATAAACAAATGGGACCTCATCAAACTAAGAAGTTTCTGTACAGCAAGGGAAACAATCAACAAAGTAAAAAAGCAACCCACAGAGTGGGAGAAGATCTTTGCACACGATATAGGCGATAGGGGGCTAATTTCCAGGATATACAAAGAACTTCAAAACAACCAAAAAACCAAAACAAACAAACCACTCAAGAAATGGGCACGGGAAATGGGCAAACATTTCACAAAGGAACAAGTCCAAATGGCAAACAAACATATGAAAAAATGTTCCAGCTCCCTGGCAATAAGGGAAATCCAAATTAAAACATCGATGAGGTACCACCTAACACCAGTAAGATTGGCCCACATAAACAAGAACACCAATGACGCTTGCTGGCGAGGATGCGGGGAAAAGGGAACCCTACTCCACTGCTGGTGGAGCTGCAAATTGGTACAGCCTTTATGGAAATCAGTCTGGAGAACACTCAAACAACTCAAAATCTGCATACCATATGACCCAGCAATTGCACTCCTAGGAATATATCCAAAACACCTGTTTTACGACAAACCAACATGCATCCCTATGTTCATAGCAGCACAATCAGTAATTGCAAAAACATGGAAGCAACCGAAATGCCCATCAGCAGAAGATTGGATAAGAAAGCTTTGGTTCATCTACTCCATGGAATACTACTCAGCTATTAAAAAAAACAAAATGCAGTTCTTTGTGGCTAAATGGGCACAACTGGAAACTATAATGCTAAGGGAAATGAGCGAATCCCAAAAGATTAGATACCACATGTTTGCCTTGATTTAACCTGTAATTTTTGTTTGGTTGTTGGTTATTTTTTGAACCTGTCATTGATACTGTCTCAACCCAGATGTTTCGAAGAAGGGAACTTGCATTATTTTTAACATATTGTTTACCCAATACTATGTCAATTAATTCCATAATGTTGTATATTGATACTGAGGCCTTGTTGGGGCTTTTAACTGACCGGATCTTTACTCTCTTAGCCCTATCTTCAGACCATAGAAGGTCTCCCCAAGAGGCCACTGAACTTATCTGGACAATAAGACGCTGGACTTTATGCTAGGCAAGTGTTTGCAAGCAATGAATCTCAACTGAACTTGAACTATGGTTATGCAACAAGGTGGAGGAATCCACCATGGGGGGAGGGGTATGGGAGGGGTGGGGGGAATCCCCAGTGCCTATAAAACTGTACTACATAATACAATGTTAACAACAATAAAAAAAAAAAAAAGAAATCATCAAGGACTACTGAAAATAGAAAAGCATTTCTCATTTATGGGCTGGCTTGATTAAAATTTAAAATCGTAATTGTAAATGTTGATAAGGGTGTGTGTGGAGCAACTGGAATTCTCATACAAAGCTGATGGGGCTGTAGAACGATTCAATCACCTTAAGAGCCTTTTGACAATTACATATAAATACACTCTTGCTCAGTGATCCAGCATTTCTTAAATATTTGCCAAAGGGAAATGAAAATGTATGTTCAGAGCAGACTCATAAAAGCTGTAAGATAATTCAAATAAGCTGTATCAATAATGGCAAAAAAAAAAAAACAACCCACAATTTTCAGTGTAACAAAAGCTAGAAATAAATCAAGTGTTCATCAGTATGAGAACGAGTAAATAAACAATGTCATATTTATACAATGGAGCTTAGCCCCAGAAAGCAACAAAATATTGATGCAAAGCAAAGATACCAAGCAACATGTGGAGTGAGAGGAGTTAGGCAGAAAGGTGTATACACCACACTGTTTCTTGTGTGTGAGGTTTTAGAGCACT